CTGCCCCTGCCCCCCAGCTGGAAGTTTGGAGGGACGCGCTCCGACGCCTCGTGTGTGTAATGTATAATGGAGGGACGGGGCTGGAGTCATTAGCCCGGCGGGAGAAGCCACCGCCCGGGCTCCATCCTGGTGCCTTTGTGTGCACGTGCGAGATGCAGGCTGCGGAGCCCACCCCCCGGCAGGTTTTCCTGCCCCTGCCCCCCCAGTTTTTGTCCAGTTCCAAGCTGGGCGGGGAGGACGACCCGGGGAAGTGGTTTTGGCAAGGAACACGCAGCTCCTTTCCCTCCAGCAAACTGGCAGAAACCTGGGGCTATCCAGGCCCCCTCAGTGTCTTGTCAGAGCAACTCGGGCCTCCCCCCGCCTTCCTTTTGCCACACAGTCGCTGCTTCTCCCCATTTAGCTTCCCTCAGCTCTTCCCAGCCTCCCATTTCACTCATCCCAGCTGCCCTCAGCCCATCCCCACAGAAGCCTCTTTTCCCTCCAAACCTTCCACTCACTCACCTCTAGGGTGGCCATCATAGAGGACATTCTGGTTTTCTGCTACTCTGTCCTCTACTGATACAAAACCCGACACCTTTATGTCTGCTATTTTTCTCTTGAAGAGAAAACTAGAGGACATACGGGCATTGGGGTTTGTATCAACAGAGGACAGAGTAGCAGAAAACCAGAATGTCCTCTATGATGGCCACCCTACTTTCACCTGAGCCTGCCTGACTCAGGGCTTCCCCTCTTCCTAAATTCACCCCCCTGCCTTTCCCACCTGGCCTGCCCCCTGCTTTGAACTCCTTGTCTTCCTAGCTGATCTACTTCACGGTCCTGTTGTGGGGCCAGCTGGAGACCTGTTGCTTCCTTTACAAACTCCACATGCCGTCTCCCTATTTTGTGTTACACCTTTTTGCTGCTGTTCCTATTGCTACTTGTCACATTCTGCCATAAAGGCAGGATCCTCTTCAGTAACACAAACATTTGTCTTACCATGTTTTTGATCAGTCATTTTTTTCCCCTTACAATTTCATTCACTCTGCATCTCCCCTACCACTATTATGTCTTGGTGTCACTTTTTTCCAGTTTTCTTAACTTACTTGACTGAGATGTTAGGATTGTCTCTTTTTTTCCCACTAGCAGTCTCTGCTAGGCTCCTGCCTTCAGCTCCACAGCCCTCTCTTCAAAGAGGGCAGCAGCAGTCAACATAGGGCATGTTGGAATCACCTGGCTCAGGTTAAGCGGCTTTCTTTGACCTGCCAAAACCTAACTTGACCTGGGCTGTGTGCCTGAGCAGCAGCAGGCCAGGCAGGAAAGGAAGGGGATGACAGGTCAGGTCAGGGATGACAGGTCCACAAGGGGAGGGGTGACAGGTCAGGTTAAAGTGCCCCAGCGCTGAGGCTAAGGCAATGATGGCTAGGGCAGGACTGTGCTGTGAATGTATGCGGGTGTCCATTAAGTCAGGTTAACCTATTTTAAATCTGGTTAACCCCAGCTGAAATAAAGTTAGTTCACCTCCTGAGGCAAACTTACTTAGAGTGGGCATGCTATGTTTAGGGTGATTTAAGCCCTGTAAACACCTATGTGACTGAATGCATCTATCACCTTAGCATATCCCTACCTTACTCTCACCCTTCATACACACAATTCCACACTAGTGTCTTGCAGACATCTATGG